ATTTGTTTGTTTTCAATCCAGGATTGCCGATCATATTATTTTAAAAAACAACAACGACAACAACAATATTCAAAATGAGCTTATTTTGTAGAAACAATGACAACACCTGCTCCAGATTTTATGACATCACTCCAACATGCAGCAGCCTGACGGCCAGAGGAAGCAGACTACTGCCCACACTGTGATGAAGGTTTTATTTATCCCTCTCAGAGTATGGAAATTTTTTATGTGAGCTATTTTTTTGATACAAATACTTACTTTTTTAATTCACTTTTTATTTTACTCCAGACTTATTCACTCATCCAAATCATTCCAGACTGATCTGAGCTGCACAGAATAGCTAACTCTGGCAAAGGCAGTCCTCGCGAATGTCACTCAATCCACAGATGCACATATTAGGTTTTCTTTGCTCTTTCTTCATGAAATGTTGCAGATATAAATGTATTTGGAACATGTCTGCAACACTATGCAAAAAGTATTTTTGCATGCCCTTTACATGAATGTTTGATTAAAGTTAATAATTTTAATAATGAAAGAGACAATACCATTATGAAAACAACATCAATTCAGAAACTTCCTGATTAAATTTGATTAAAATCTTTTTACAAATCCCCACTGAAGTATATTTTTTCTCTATAATATGCATATTTCCTCTACCACCATGCAGCTTATATAAACAACATGAAGGAAGAGAAAAAAAATCTCTTCCTTCATGTAGTTATTATGAACTGTGTGAAGGACGAGGCCTGGACTGATTTTGATTCTAAGATGATATTTCAACATTTTTTTTTAACCAGATTTCTGATTTCGTTTTAAAGTTCAGGCCAAAGTAGATTTGTTCTTCGCGTTTCTTTAAGCATGGACAAAGAATTCACTTTAATTCAGTATATTAATATAACGCCACACTAACAGCTGTCTCAAGGTTCTTTATATTGCAGAGTAAAGATCTTACATTGTTAGACAGAAACCCTCCAAATCAGAGCAAGCACTTGGCAACAGTGGGACAGAAAAACTTCCTTTCAACAGGAAGAAACCTCCAGCAAAACCACGCTCAAGGAGGGTGTGATGGGTTGGAAGGATTTGGTTTTTCCTTTGGAATATCCAGGAACTCATATCACTCATATCGAAACTCACATTTGTGGTTTCTTTACTCTCTGAATTAAGTTCTCTCAGCATTTGCTTAAATGATTTCTTACATTTTCTTTTATCTTAAGTCGAAACGTCAGGACAAGGAAGCCTATAAGAATACATGTAGTAAAAACTACATTTCTACCGGTACGC